GCATGCACCATTACAAATATACAAAATGTTCTCTTGTCACAAAGTACACGTGAGCTTAAAGTCCCATTTTTATAGTGTGCATTTTGAGCAGTTTAAACAGATACCCATTTAACTGAAAATGAAGCAGAAGGAATTAGAATGGCTCTATATTTTGTACATCAGTCATTCAAGTGCCCTGCAAATATACACAAAATACATTACTGGGAATGGGTATCTCAACAAGCTTAACTTTACATATGCTACATATTATATACAAGACCTTTACATTAACAAGTTGATCAAAATGCAGATTAGTAATAAATTACCCACCAATGGATTCAATTAATCAAATTAGAGCACTAAACAATAGTTGAGACTTGGCTGATCATTTCCAAAATCTGGTTCCCAACATCTTGGCCAGTTGCTCTCAGGATCAGGTTTCTGGGTGTTTCTCGCTCTAAGTTGACTGGGTCACCAAAGTAAATTTGAAGCAGGTTTCTTTCTGATTCTTGATCCTCTGCCCACAGGAGACTGGACAAGATTTCTAATGCTGAGTAAGCATGAGTGACGGTCAACGGGAGCTGTACTCATGCAGAGGAGGGTGGAACCTTTCCTGACAGTTGCTGACAGCAGACTTGATTATGGTCAGATCCAAACCACGCCTGTTTGACTTAGGTGCTCTGCATACACAGAATTTGGATGTAGGGTATGAAATAAGTGCTACGGCTTCAGCTGTAGCTGCATTCATCAGCTAGCTCTCTCCCTAAACCACGTAAGTCACAGACCACTACAGTTCAACTAAAAGGATGCTCTGTTTAGCTTTAACCAACTTAACTTAAATTGCTGAAACCTTGGCGTTTGGACTGCTGCCACAGGCTCACTTGTGCCTTCTAAGGTAACCTATTCTGTCATTGCTGCTGGAATGATTTCCGCATGCAAAGAGTTAAATAGATGTTATATACAGGTACACAAGTCTTGAGAGTAAACTGCAAGTACAAGAAGATGCTCTATACAACCTACTAGTGAAATAATCGGAAATAGTCATGTGTCACAGAGTATGTGCTAAGTAACTGAACTTGAACTATGCGTGTCTCAACAACATTTTGTCCCCAAGTCAGGGCCATTCTGGTGTTGACAATATTAAGCAGCTTAGGCTAAAACTGCCACTTCCTAGCAAAGCGGATTTCCTTAAGTATTCTGCCTCTGTGACATACTTAGCCTGGATAAATGTGGAGGGCCTGTGAAACCAGGCAAATCCAGTTTATGAATGGTCCTATCTAGAGGGAAGAATGGAAAACAGTGTACTGAAATCTGTCTAGTAAAGGAGGACAAAATCATTTGACTTTTGTATATATGAGAACACAACAAACAGCTTTTAAGAAGAGGATGTTTTCGTGAAGGCCACTTTTTAATGTGTTCACAAAAATCACTTACGTAAGCACTGTGTTGATGTACAAGGTGTAGGCGCTGGTATGGCCTTGGAGCTAACAGACAATTTTCTTAATGTTGGAAAATTGGCCCTCATCTTACTTCTGGCCCTAGGTACACAATCATAATGGTTTTCAAGACCGCTATACATTAGCAGCCTGGGTCTATGGTGCATTATTGATAATGATTTGCCGTAACAGATTTTAAGGTACTTTGCCTAAGAGAGAACAAGCTAGAATGAGAGACCTCCACACGAAGGCTGTTGATGTAGATTACTCCCTCCAAACATTTGCAGAGACAGTAGCGTGGCACAAGCTGTGACCATTTCCTTAATGCATTGCGAGGAAAATGCAAAGCACAGTACCCAGGATCAGCAAGGGCTCGGAGAACAGTTGTTTGACGCTTGATGCCAGCCGATACTCCCGATACTGCTGTGTGCATCGCTGCTCGATCACTTGATGCATGACTTTGGTTTCCATCTCTGTCATATTTGGGTTCTGACTAGGCTCGAGTTTGTAACTGGTCACAGTGACATTAACGCAGTCATACACAAATCTATCCTGGGTGACAGGTTCTTGGTACTGCTTGTAGTAAACGCTGTTTGGATAGCGATTGCTGTTCTCATTCCACCACCGGTTCTCATCAGGATTACTGAAACGATACTGCATCCCTGAAAGTGCATTCCCTAACATGTAACCTCCGACGCCGCCAACCACGGCACCAGCTGCTGCTGCTCCTGCCATGCTTCCCAAACCAGGCTTGTTTTTATGCGGCTTCTGGTTGTACTGTTGTCCCCAGCCAGGGTTTTGGGGGTAGCCAGGGTTTTGGGGGTAGCCAGGGTTGCGGGGGTAGCCAGGGTTTTGGGGATAGCCAGGGTTGTGTGGGTAGCCAGGGTTCTGGGGGTAGCCGGGGTTGTGCGGGTAGCCAGGGTTGTGCGGGTAGCCAGGGTTGTGGGGATAGCTGGGATTATGTGGGTAGCTCGGGTTGCGCTGGCTTCCTGTGTTCCATCCACCTCCGCTGGGTCTGCCCTTCCCTTTTTTGCAAAGGGAAACGTCGCTCCATGCCACAATAAGGAGAATTGCTATCCAACAGATTACCAGGCATCGCCCCATGGTGAGCGTCTGTAAAATATAATGATCAGAAAGACTTTTTTTATTTAAATAACATGTTGATATACAGAAGAGGCTCGAGGCATTCAATCTTGCTAGAGGCCTCCGAATGATCTTAGACTTGCCCTTAAATACCATCATCTGATGCCCACTTGGGATCATCACTGATCGGTTGAATTGGAGCCACCAAGAGTCGCACAACAGAATGAGGTGATTTTGCTTTCTCCGGGATGCAGAATAAGAGCCAACCGTGCTAGCCTGTCCTAACAACTGTATTTATAAATATGGGAACTAAGGGAGTTGTGGCACGAGACTGAGGGTACATTTTTTGCCTTGTTTATATCTACTGTGCTGCCATTACTGCATGTATCTGAGGGCAAGCAGCTTCTGCTCATCTGATCTCACTAGGTTTGTGACATTAGTGTAAAGGCACATGATGCTCCTTTCTATTTGACTGTAGACCAAATGCTTTGAATTCACAGGACTACTAAGAAAAACCCAAAAAAACCATGCTTGGATCACTGCACCCAAAATGTGCAAACAACCCCTTCAAAAACTCCCTTTCCTTTAACAGATGGCTAGAACTCCTGCCTACATTTGCCAAAGGAAGAACACACCCTACGCATGGTGCTTGGGGAAATAAACCCTGTTGTTTCTGACTTGCTGCATTAACTGCAGTGGAAGTTAACCGTGCTCCATTTTAATCTGCTCCTGCAATATAAGTTATAACATACCAAATCACAAGAAGTTTAGCTACTCATGCTTGGGGGGGTGGAGGGGTGGTGGTTATGGAAGCGCCTTCCACAAAACCAGTATCAAAACCAAACATGCCCCCACACACCCACAAACACAAATTTGGAGGTTTATTTTCAAAATAAATGTCTCAAAGTTTCTCTCTGTTTCTGGTGTACTTAAGGAACCTTCCTCCCCTTACCCCCATTCCTAGTCCACAAGTTTTTGAGTGCCAGGAGATCAGCATAATTGAAACCTGAAGTTTGCAGTCTGGCTGAACTGACCCAAAGACGTTAAGATTTGTTTTCTTAAGAATTACAGGTTTTTTAAGTATTTGCTTTTTAACATGCATTTTAAGTGAACATAACGTTGCTATGTAATGGGTCTCAGTTAAACCATGACTTCCGCATTACCTATAAATACTCGATTCTTAAAAACATATACCTATTGCCTTTACAAAGAAAAAATGATTAGCTAGAATTTTATCTCACAGTGGTACCAGAAATACTGTAGTATTCCCTTGAACTGAGTATATATAGCTAGGAGTCAGTTACCTGTGGGTGGATACAGACTACTGCATGTAAAACTGTCAAACGTCACTTGAAAATGAATCGCAGTTCAAGAGGCAAAATGGATCACAGCACTTACTCTCATCCATACTAGGGCTCCTTCACACTGGTCTGGCAATGCAAAAGGGCGTTCAGATAGAAAATCATTTACATCCTATTTGGAATGGCCAGTTTTTAAGAATTTTTCCATTACTGGAGCTGTGGAAAGGACCATCACCATAAGTAAGAACTAGGTGTTTTTGGTTAAAAAGTATTGTGAAGTCAAGGAAAGGAAAAGCAGAAAGGAATAAAGTGTTTTTTGTGAAAATCTGAGGCACTCTGGGGTTGTAATTAGAGCTGTGACCTCATTTCATAATAGGCAGGAGAGAGAAACATTCTTTTGTGGGTGCAACTCTTAAAACAAATTCAACTCACAACTTAGCTCGGGTGTCAAATGGCAAGAGGGCCACCCCACAATGTCAGAGTGAAGCATGCCTTTTTAGGAACTTTCTGAATGGTAATATTTTGATCGTAATACTTTGGGGAGGGAGGAAGAGTGGAGGCAAAAAGGATTGGATTGTGCATTTCCCAGCATTGCTTCTCTACTGGATGATAGCCAGGGAAAGACCAGTTTAAAATGCTTCTCACTAAAGAGGCTGTCATGCTTTTAGCATTTATTGGATGCTATCTATTATTCAGAAAGGTGCTCCAGTGCAAAGAGTCTATCAAATATAAGATACAAGCCAATTGTACAAAAGCACTCCCTCCACAGTAACTCTATCACAACATAGAGTGCCAAAGAATTGAAGTAACAGTTTTAGTATTTTTTTGCTGTACAGTATTTAACTTAGGCTTTTCATATTTTTGAATGACCCAATTGACTTAATTGGCTTGATTTCTAGTGTAAGCAAGGCCAGACAGCTTCAGGTTTTGATCCTGGTCACTTCCATTTTCTGGCTTATGTGTGACAGGAAGTTGAAGTCTGGGTCCCTAGCACCCAGCAGAAGTTCAGTGACTGGTATAAGACTAGGTGATGAGCCTAAAGGGTAACCATATTTTCCTACAGCAGATACATTTCTTCCATGACAATTCTTGTGCCAGTGAAAAAAATTCCCGGGAGATCACTTTGCAGCAAAATGGGAGCAGAAGTGGCTAAAACCTCAGCATGTGATCCATCAGAAATCAATCCTGAATAGGTTTGCTGGTCTCTAATACATTCATCACTGGTGTCTGATGCATGTTTGAGGGATTCTGTCCTGGCTGCTCACTTTGATATCTATGTAAGACCTGAGAGGGACCATATGGACAATATATCATGAAGTCTGGAGAGGTTAAGGTAATGGGAGAAGGATGCGTGCCCCAAGGTTTTAATCTTGCTCCATTCTACATACTGGCTATTTACTCCTAGTTCTGTTTGCATTCTCTGTGACATGAATATGTGCAAATATTTTACCGTTACAACCTCAGCCAAAAATCAGCCTGTACAAACCTTTCTCTGTGTGCCAAAAAAGTGGAGTAGCTGTTCTAAGGCAGGCAAATGAGACGCATTAAAATGTATTCTAGATGTGCAAATTAAGCAGGATGCTACCGATCAACAACTGAAACTTGTATTATTCAGGCTCGGGGAAGTATTTGTTTTCCTTATGGTGTGTGTGGGGAAGTGGAATCATTCACCTCATCACAAGGAACATATCTTCCCTATCTACGCTTTGCTGTCATCACCTTATTTCCTCTTCCCTGCCCAGAGACTTGGTTTGCTTAACACTCTGTGCTAAGAGACAAGTCATGGTACAACCAGCCAAAGAGGTGAATCTGGAGAGGGTTCACTTGTAAATATTAAATATAGAACTGGCATTGCAGGATAGGTCGGCAAGTATAATTTGTATGTGATAAAGACTTGAGTTTTTGATGTACAGAAGCTTCTCTCCCCCTTGGTGTTGCAGTTGCAAGGGCAGGGACAAGTATTTGACATCATGTTGTTCAATAAAGCATTTTAAACACCCTCATACAATCTAAGCAAACAGCCAGAGTTTAAAAGAGCTTTCATTGAGCAGCAACCCTACCCAACTCCTTTTATATAGGAGAAATTGTAGCAAATAAACTGTCCAAATGGATCACAAAGAGCTTTTAAGTAAGATTCCCTGCCCCGGCATGGTCAACTATTTATGGTTGCATAATTCAGCAGACTTCTTACACACTTAACTATCCTCTACGAAAGTAGGACAGAAGGAAGATGAAGTAATGCATGCTTTGTGTTCACAAGAAACCCAACCTTTTGTCTCTAGGATTGCTGCTTCTTCAGTTATGCAAGTTGTTTTCTGGTTTGCCTACTCCCATGACGAGCAAGCTGAGACAGTCTTGGACTGTATGGTCATGAGAGCATAGGGTTTAAAAATAGTTCAAAGACAGAAGCGATACTTGATATTCTGTGTTAGTCAGCTCTTCATACATTCAAGAAAGGTGACACACAACATTGCCGTATAAACTGGGCCTTTTTTCTTTACGAACAAAGCATAAGACTACCGGTATCGAGAAAGAAAAGCTTTCCTTAATTATCATCATCGCTAGCTATACAAAAAGATCCATATCCCCTCTTAATCAAGTGAATTAAAAATTAGCACACATCCCTGTTGTCTTTCCCCTTCCCCCACCAGCATCATCATCGCTAGCTGTACAAAAAGATCTATATCCCCTCTTGATTAAGTAAATTAAAAACGAACAAACAACCCTGTTGTCTTTCCCTTCCCCCACCGGTATCAAAGATGGGCCAGCAAAGCTCTACCAAATGTTGTGGCCTGGTAGAAAAGGCGAGACTGTCTGAGGAACCCAGGTGAGAGTCAATGCCTCCCTACTCATTCACTTGATGCATATTCTTTTTGCCCTTCAGTACACGCGTTGTCTTAGTTACATTATAACGTGGCCGGTGCTCACAAAAGACAGACGTATGGCGTATACATTGGGCCAACCTCTCCAAAGAGGTTGGGGCGCTTTGCCAGCACGAATAGATGGGTCGCTGCTGAGTAACAAAGCACCTGACACGGGTCAGGGGAAATGAGTCACAAGGATTGACCTGGTTACGTGCTGGGCAGACTAGGTAGATCCCAAAGGGCACAAAACCCTCGGCACGTCAGTACAGCCGGGAATGGCGTGTGTTGAGATTACAGCCAGGACTGGTGATGGCTGGGGAGGTGGGAGGAGGAGGAGGAAAATGGAGGAGGAGGAGGAGGAGGAGGGTAGGCGCCTGTGATGGGGTGAGCTGGCATCTCTGCGCTGTGAGGCCTCGGGGCCTGCATGCAGAAGAGGACTAAACCGCCTCTTGCTTTCGTTGCTCCCAACAGCCTGGTTTTAACTGGTCTGTGCTGTATGCAGCCTCCTCCCCGTCCTCCATCTCATCCCGGCTCAGCAGCAGGCCAGGCGGGGGGAGCTGGGCTGCAGGCAGGGGCGGAGGGAGAGGAGCAGGGAAGGCCCCGCAGCGGGGGCAGCAACACCCCGCGGCCCGGCCCGGCCCGGCCCGCAGTGCGG